ACCAAAGGTAAACTTGTAATCTTAAAACTGCCTGTATTACTTTTCTACAGGAAATGAAACCTTTTACATTCTACCTGTATTAAGCACTTAAACATACAGAAGGCACTTTTTACAGTTCTTAGTTGCAGCACACAATTAAAAAATATAGTTGTTAACTCTTAAGGCCAAATTCTACTCATCTCACCATATTTTCCCATGGACACCACTTGTGTAAAATGAAAATCACTTGACCCTTATTTTTTTTCAATTCAGCACAAACGTGTATGGTTTATTTGCACTACAGAATTAGGGTCATTAGACGTTTCTGTCACCTGAGCCATTAATCATGATTCCAGTATCAGAAAAAAAAGGGGAGGGGGGAGAAATCAAGTGTAGACAAAAGTGTATGTAAAAGTTTATAATGACTTGCCAACTTAAATGGATTTTTTGTTCCTTTTCTATGGTTAAATAACTTATTTTTACTGTAAACAGCATCAACTCTTAAAATACTTTTGCCAGTGTTTGGATAAACAGAGCAAAGGTAAAGCAATGAAAGCATAACACCAAAAGTTGAAATACCAAACACCAGAAAACATAGCAGTGTACTGTGCAGGGGATCAGAGATAACATGTTAAAAAGCCTATTGTCACCAGCTTTTAAAGCAGTGTCAACTTTGTGAATATGTTTACTCCTTCTGCCAAAGTTTCTAGGTCAAATGGACCACAACCCTCCTCTGCAACAGATGTACAAAAGGAAGAATGAGACTTTGTAAACAAAAACAAAAAAACCCAAACAAAAAGTTATCCTGAACTAACCAGCTGTACCAAGAGGACCAAAATGCTTCAGTAATTAAATTGAAGACTTTGCTACTTTTATTTTTTTCTTCAAATGTGAGTGACATAATGAAGTATTTTTTCCTAAACCATAAAAATATAAACTTTTGAGGTAATTAGTAGTCTTGAGTGAATTTTACATTTTATGACGCAGGTTTCAAGTTGACATTTTTAACTGATGTGTTGACCACAGGTGGGTTTTTTTTCCAGACTAAAAAATATGTTCATATACTTTTAATGTAAATGTTTTTCTATTTATTTGAAATGAAACAAATGCCCAGGAAAAATAACTATGGCTTGTTCTCCTAGTTAGCATTTATGCATACTGTTTGGCACGGTGTGAAACAAAATGTGAATCTGTACAAGAGTGATGGCCTGAGTAGCAAAAGGAAGAGTGGATGCACTTTGGGAGAGCGCCCATCTTCTTGTGTGGAATGCAAAGGTTGGGGTCCACAGGCTTTGTTGGTAAAAAGCAGAAAGCAAAACACCTTCCCCTGTTTAAAGAGCGTAAGAAAGGGATCCAGCCCCTTGCCAGAGAGGTGAGAAAACACTGTAGAGCTGCAGTAGAGGGGAAAAGGTAGCACAGCATGGAGCCAAGGTGTTAGCATTCCTGTGATTCACGCTCAGGTTGTCTGCAGGCCCAGTCTGTGCTGGGAAAGTGAGATGAGCTTCCTTGGTGCTTGCTTTTGGCAGTGGAAATGAAAAGGAAGGACTTTTACTTTGGTTGCGATATTTTTAGCCACATTCTGCTTAATTGTTAAAAATCTATTGGCGGATTTCAGTTCCTTAATTAGGAAAGAAAATTTATGTATTAATTTTATTTCGTCTTGCGGAAATTAAATATTTTTCCTCGAACGTTAACAATTTACCAAAGTTTACAACAAAAAAAATCATAAGGGATAGTGTCTCTTTCACTATCTACTAGTTTCTGCAGTAGAATGTCAGATCACCTGAAACCCTGGTTTTCTCCTCAGAAATAGCACAAAATAACATTTTAATGACTGATTTTTCTCAACAGTTTTCCTTTTTAAAGTTGCAGAATAGCAATAACCACCTTACTTTAAGCACTGAAAATAAGAGGAGAGATCAATCATTAAACTTTTCAGTGGTGCTTGTTCCAAAATAAATAGGAGTCCCAAATTTTGGATTCTTATGTGGAATGATGGCACTGAAAACAAACAAATGGGAAATAGTTGCCACTTGTCTAACAGCAGGATTCTTATTTTAAGCAGAAAGGTAGGGAGGCTCCTTGGCAAGATTAGCCATGTCTTACCCTGAAATACGGAAAGTTATCCCATTGTACATGAAATTACTTCATTAGGAGGAAACCAGCACTCCTTACAAAGAGTTCTTACATTATTTTAAGCAGCAATTTAAAAAGTTTCAGTATTTTTACTTGCTACCAGACAGAGTTAGGGAAATTACTTCTCTTTGCAATACCTCATAACTCTGGTGATCGTGTAGTGCAACAGCTCCTGCCTCTTAGTGATGGACACAGCATCCCAGAAGCAGAGGTGAATTATGCTGATCCTTCTAGGAACCAAATCTAACCTTTCCCCATTAAATACTTCTATGAACTAACAGTGCTGTCAGTATGCAGTATTCCAAAAATCATTGGAACATATGCTGTGTTCGCCCCTTAAGGGCATTGCAAATGTGTTTTGTGTGCTGTATTGAGGAGGAAATCTGCCATGAGCGAGACACTTGGAAGTTCTCAGTGTTGGCCTGTCCCACGTCTCACGTGAGTCACCGGAATCCCTTTTTTTTTTTTATGTATGCTAGTACATTAATCTGTAATTTATCACATGTAGAAACATATGTGTAATTTAGGGCAGGTATTTAAGCATGGGAGTAATTTTACTCTTGTAAATAATCTCCTTGCCTTTCTGTGGACTTTTTTTACAAGAGTAATCATACATAATTGTTGCACTTAACCCTGGATCCTGCAATTTATAGTACATGGACAACTTTTGTGTCTGCACCAAGCAAAGGGTATTTGGGGAGGGGCAGCTGCCTACCCAGGTGTATTAGCAGGATCGTTTCATCCTGTATTTTAACCACAGCTGCAGGTGGAATCCATAGCAGGATGGGGTCCCAAGTCTCTCTCATAAATACTGAGTTACAACCTCCGGACTGCCTGAAATTGCTGTGAAATAGCTCAGGGGATTTCTGTTCATCGCTATTAAAAGGGCACCATAATGTGTTTGGTACTTTTATGCAGTAAACAACTGCCAGGTTATTGAATTAGAACAAACACATGAAATGAATTGTTTATCCATTGTACTGTTGAGAAACTTGGTTATGTATCTTGAGAATGATTTAAAAAAAAATTGTGATTTTTATTCTTAGTCATGTAAGAAATATTAGAGTGCCTTTTTATATTTGTGTATAATGGAAATGTTTTGTGAAACTTGTCTTTTTTTTTTCATTTGAGTGTTACAAAAGCAATATATTACCAGTAAATTTTCATTTCAGACCTTCTTTGAATGTATAAAGTGTTTCTTCTTTTCATATGTTCTACCTGCATTGAAATGAAAATTAATATGCTAAATTTCTATAGGAATAATGTATAATTTTTGCAGTGCTGAAAATGCTTTCTTATTACACAAAAATTAAACCTTAGGTCAGTGTTATAGGAAAGGGCGTTTTAAACTGGTGACAATCTGAGTGTGTGTATAAAATGTAATTTTATGCGTTTCTTATGCAGTGATCTACATATTAAAGCCAATATCTTATGTTTTGTAGGTTTTGTCTTATATTTTATGCTTTAGCATGTGCAATATATCTTTACAAACCATGGTGATACGCATCTGGTGCCAGTGTTATATTTTGCATAACATTTGTAATAAACAATATAAAATATTGTTTGATGGTTTCAGTGGGGTTTTGTCGGTATTGTTTGCTTTTGTAAATTGAAGTTTAAGGACTTGGGTAAATGTTACTTATGAAATGAGGAAAAAAGTTAATTCGGTGAATGACTTGGAATTCAACCTGAATCTTCTCAAGCACAGTTTAATAACTTTTTCAACTACTGAATGCTGTATTAATGTAATAAAGAACCCTAACTGTAAACTACTCTTGCAATGCATTCAGATGGTTATTTTTACAAATAAAAATGGTACAAATACTGTTGGAAAACTGAGTAAATTTTGTTTCTTTTAACGGGGGAGGTGAAGAGGGAGGCTTAATATTTAGCAGCGAAGATGAAAGTGCAACTATATATGTAGGCGCTTTGTACTTTTCCCTGGTATGTAAATACTCCACGCCTTAGGAAGCTGATTTTTGTATTGCTTCCTCTGTAGATTGGGGGGGAGGAGCAATAACTTTTTTTTCGGGGGGGGGGGGGTCAGTTAGTAAGTGCCTTACTATTGTGTTTTCCTGGTGAGCAATACCAGCAGTCCTGGGTGTGCCCTGCAGCGGGCTGGGGCAGCAGTTCCACAGGGAATAAAATGCAGCAGTGTGCCTAAAGCTAGTTAAAGATAGATACGAAGGTGTTAAATGTACCTAAATTAAAGCAAACACCACCCCACCAAAAAAAAATAAAAAAAGGGAAAGAAAACCAACACCAGTAACCACCATGAACCACGCCTTTTGCGTCGTGAGTGCCGGAGGCTTTATGGACATTTATCACTGAACTGGGGTGCTTCGTACTCTCACCAGGGTAGGGTCCGTAGGACCACCTGCCCGGGGGTGTGCGGGTTTACTTTCGGCCAGGTGAGCTGAGGGGGACGAGAGCAGGACTCCCCTCAGAGCCCCAGCCCGGCCGGCCGCGGCGAAGCGGCGCCGCCGCAGCGCTGACCCGCCCTCCCCATCATGGCGGACACACCTCCCCCGCGAGCCGCGACATGGCGGGCGGGCCCCTCAGCCCAGCGCCCGCCCGACCTCCCCAACATGGCGGCCGCCCCCGGCGCCGGCCAGGTTGTGGGGACCCCGCCCGCCCGCTCCGCCTCCGGGCGGTGGCGCTCCCGCCCCGCCCCGCCCCGCCGTGCCTGTGCGCGGGCAGCCCGCGGAGAGCAGCGCTCCGCTCCGCGGGGCGCCATGGGGCGGGCTGGCCGCCGGCTGCCCGCGCTGGCAGCGCTTTTCTACGGGGCGCTGGCGGCGCTGGTGCTGCTGGGGGTGCGGGACGTGCTGTTCCTCTACGAGGAGAACCGGTGCAGCATGACCTACATGTACGAGTACCCCGAGTACCTGGTAAGTGCGGCGGCGTGTAACAGGTGGGACCCGCCGCGCCCGGGGCGTCGCCGTCCGCCCCGCCGCGGCCGGAGCCGGGAGCCGGGAGGAACCGGAGCCTGAGGCACAGCCCTGCCGCGCTCCCCGCGGGAAGGGAGAACTGCCCCAGCTCGGCGCTTCGCTGGCGAGCCGAGGCGGCCCCTGCGGGGCGGCGAGCGCTAAATGGGGTGCGGGCAGTGCGGGCTGGTGAGGGGTCCATGCGCTGGCAGCAGGCGCTGCTGTGCCCGCGTCGTGTGGCCGTGCCCCTCGGGTGGGAAGAGCTGCCGGTGGGAAGAGCTGCCCACCTGTAACCAGCGGGGTTTCGTACTAGTACAAAACCTTCCCGCGTTCTAACCTGCAAATGCCTGTAGTTACCCGTAGACGAGGTGAAACCCGTCAGAAGCTCATCCAAGCGCTGGCAAAGGAAGAGGCTGGGCCAGCTCCTCTGACAGCACTCACAGCACTGACAGTGCCCAGGAGGCCGAGCCTTGCGCTTCTTGGCCCTCTTCGTCACTTTATGGTGTGAAGCAATTAATGTGTAAAAAAAGTGCAAAACGGAGGTTTGAATATGTGTATTTCTCAAGGCAGTGAACAGTAGAGCAAAATCCTCACTGTGAGCACTTCAGAGGTGGCATGTCCTGCAGTGTATGGGAGAAGTTGTAAATCTCTCTGAGGTCCCTCTTGTTTTGCTAACAGAGACTTGTAGAAGTCTGTTTGAAAACCTGGGACCAGTTTGAGAGAGGGAGCTGCTGCTGGAACATGTCTGTTTCCCAGACATGGTATTCTGACTTAACAGTGGGAGGATGTAAATATTTATTTGTAGGTTTGCTGCTAATGCTGCATGCAGTTGTTAGAAAACAGTTTCTCTTTCTAATAGTAGTTCTTACTACAGCATTTTCTGTCTTATTTAAAAGCATAATTTGTTGACTTCTAAACATTCATTTAATATTATCTATGTTGGAAAAAATATGGAGTATTCTAAATAATACTCTGATCTGACATAAGTTGCAAGCTGGCTTACATAGTAAAGAAGATCTAAAAGCAAAACTTTAGTGCCTAAGTTGTTAATGAAGCAGGAAGTTAATTTTTGGATCTATTAACCTTCATTTGCTAACCTTGGCATAGTCACGTTAGCCTGCAAAAGAGAAACTTGGTATAGCTACAAGGGTTGTTTTGTCAATGCTGTAGGACAAATTTGTTTAAGCAGTTATGAACACTTAAATATTGCGCGACGAGTTTTCAGATCTCCTAGCAGCCAAAACCTACTTCAGCTTCAATCCGAAGCCAACCAACAGAAAGTTACTAGCAAAATCTGTGTCACGTTATTGGCAGTTGTCTGAAATTCTTGTCAGCCACCACGTGTCTTTTGTATTTACTCATTATGTCAGGGCTTAAACAAAGCATCTTTAGGCAGCTGTTGTGCTGGTAAGGAATGCAAGGCTTAAAGGTAAGCAGTCGCTCCATGCAGGTGATGCAAGTCACCACTGGCTGTGTTGTCGCCCGGAATTTCTCTTTCCTGAATAATCACTTTCACTGTGTAGAAAACAGTACCTTGGGCTGGGGGAGAAATTGTGAACTGGTTTGGGTTTGCTAAGGCATTATACTTTTCAAGCACCTCTTTAGTGTTGGAGCGGTTGTGTGTTTGATTTGTCTTTATAGTGCTGGCTTTGGTAGGAAATCACAGGGTAGGAGTTTCGGGTAGGAGGCACCTGTCCTTGCTTCCGGGCTGGTATCACGTTACAAAACAAAGAGCTACTTGAAACTTAAAGAAGTCTCGTTTCTTTTGTGTCTGTCAGTGTGGGTTAGCTCACAGTCAGCCTAATGCTAAGTAATGGAATCACTTTAGATTTTCTTTTTTGTACTGAACGATCTTTTTTTGTATGAGTTGTAGAACTGGAGTACTTGAATTTAATGTGTGCTTGTCCTGTACAACTATACTTGGTAAGAGCTTCAGAAGTTAGTAATGAGGACTTTTTCACATAAACCTAATTTCTTTGGAAACCAGGGTGAAAAAATGAAACTTGCATTGACATTGTAAAAAGTTACTGTAGCTCGCTACTACCGATTACATAAACCATGTCTTGGGAATTCAGAATTTAAATCCAGTCATGAAACATGAAGGTCTGTTTTCCTTTGGAGTTAAGCATTGCCATTTTGTTTATAATATTTGAGCACTGTAATTTACCAACACCCCCCCCTCCAGTATTTTGGTAGTACAGTTCTCATGGGGTGTGTGGGTTTTTGCTTTTGACCCAGAGAAGGACAGCTTGTGAATTTTATGTTACGTAAAAGTTTTTGAAAAGACAATGAACCAGGAAGATATTGTGGAAGAGCAGTTGGTTTGATCTGGCAGGAAGTCATATAAGCATATCTTGATGGCACTCTCAGTTCAGTAATGGAAACTGAAGAAGTTTTTTTTGCATAATTTTGAAAGTCTTTGAAAAAGGAGCAGCACAAAGGAATGACAATGGGGCAATGAGGTCAGTGAAGTTGGAAAGGCAAGATGATGAAGAAAAGGAAAAAAGACCACTGAAAGGATGATCTGAAGACATAAACCCTGAACGAAGCTTAACCTTTTTTGTTCACAGTGAAAGAATGAAACACGCTCTTTCTACTTCATTAATTAATTAACATAAATAAAACATTATAAATAATACATAGAGAATATAAATTTTAAATATAGATATCGTAAACATCCTAAGAAAAGGTTGCAAATAACCAATATGTCAAATAATTTGAAGGCTAAGGGAGAAGGAAAACAGTCTTTAGCTGAGGAGAGACAGAAGAAAAGGGGAAGGGAAAGAGTGTGTGGGCAGGAAGTTAAAGCTAAATCACCTTTGTTGTAGATGCAGCTGAGAGAAATAATGAAGTATTTGAAATAGAGATGTTTCTATTTCATGAAAACAATTAAGAAAGACTTTAGAAAAGATTTCTGATGTAAAACTGAGTTCAGATTTGACCTTATTCTGCAAAAGTTTTTTCTTAAATTGTAAATTACACCCTAATGCATTTATTTTTTGTTGTCTTATTTGTCTCTCAATGGATGTAACATAATTAATCAAACGTTGGAACGAGTGTATTTGCATTTATCAAAATTTTAAAAATCTGTATCTTAGAAATTCAGAGTTATAAACCAACCAACCTCCTCCAAGCAGGATTTAATTAAATGTCTTGTTGTTTACTACGTGTTTGGTTTAAAACAGTGTCACATGACTCTTAAGAGTCATGACTTAATGGTCTAAGATTAATCCTGACCCAGCCCTCAGGTTCAAAGAGATTTTGTTCTTTTCTCTTCGGGAATCATAATCCTGTGAATAAGTTAAGTGATAGGTTAGGGGGTTAGCTGTATTCTTCTTGGCATTAATACAAGAAACATGGCCCTTTTTAAGATAACAACTGACATGTAAATTGGACCCTGAGTTGTTATAAAACCAGGTGGTTTGTCACTAGGCCACAAAACCAACTCCGAAAATGAAACAAACAGGAAAAGCACTGAAGTGTGGGTTGTTTTTTTCTGATGAGCCATATTGAGGTGGTTACTACTCTTGTTTAAACTCCCATTGCAGATGACATCTCTGTAAAAATCACCTGAGAGAATTCACACAGTATCCATAATTTCCCCTGACATAACAGGTGTCATCCGACAGTCACCTACATAAACCTGTTCTCGAGATTTAGTTTCCTATCAGGTGCAGTAGCACATCCTCGTTCTCAGTTACGTTGTGTCGGAAAGGATTCCAGAGCAGGAATAATGAGGATCACTCACAAGCCCCAGTTTCTGGTCTCAGATTCTGCTGTCCTGGGAGAAGTGGTTGGGCTTTGGCATGACTTTTTTTTCCTTTCCACCTCTGTATTATAAGCTGGGTTTACTTTATGAATGTGCAGTTTGTTTCAAAGCTAGTTAAAGTTAATTGCTGTTTTGAGTAACTGCAGCCACTCATTCTGCACAGTAATATCTACTTGAACAATATACTTGATACTTCAATTAGTTTTTTTTAAAGCAAACCTCAGTTTTCATTCTGTATTCTTTAGACTGTAACTTCAAACCATACATAAAATATAAGCCAGATCATTTAAATGGCTCTATAGCCACTGTATTTTCTTGTTTGTAACACTATAAACAAAGTATTTGTTTTCTTTTTAACTTTTGCAATAGAAAATAAAATTACCCAAGAAAACAGCCAGACGATACCCAGCATATGAGCTCTATCTCTATGGGGAAGGGAACTACGCTGAAGAAAACAAAAATCTCTTATTGACAGGAATTCCAGTTCTTTTTCTTCCTGGGAATGCTGGCAGTTACAAACAAGGTAAGTGTTTTGTGAAGTTGTAAGCATGTTACAAAAAAGGCTCTCACATTTATGCATTATTTAGTTTTCTGTTTGAAATACTATCAGCCAGGGTCATAATGATTGATTATGATTTATTATGATATAGGTATCCTTGTTAGTCCATGTTTAATTTCAGACAGTCAAATACATTATTTTTGTTTGAAATCAGTTAAATGTTTAAGCTATAATATTTCTCTGGAGCAAGACTTTAACCTTTGAAAGCCAGAAACAGTACAGTGCTGTAATATGGCAGCACCATACCCTTCCTGTACTTTTGTTTGCAAACATCCAGTTGGTTTTGATTTGAACAATGTTTTGTGCAGTTTATGCCAAATAAAACAAGATCCGAATTTGATTAGAAGAGACTGAACCCTCTGTCATCTGTGATGTGAAGGAATTACATGCTTTAGAAATAAGCAGCATCTTGTGGCTTGCCCTGTAGCTTCATTATTTCCTGCTTCTGTATGTAGTGGTATTTTTTCCTCAACATCATCACCTCACTTTACATACAGCCTGCTTTTGTTTCTCAGGTTATTCCCTCTTACACTTCTAGGCTCCAAATGAAAGGAAGTAATAGTTTGAAAGCATTTTTGTTTTTCATTCCATTGTGAATACCAAAGCTAATAATTTGATGAACGTGAAGTTTTGTGTTTCAGGGTTTACTCTGGTATCTGCAGTTCCTTCCAGGCTGGGTTTGTCAGACTGTAATTTTTGTTCTCTAAA